GAAAAACTGTAACTGACATGCTTCGATGAAAACTGATAATTCGAGAAGAATAGGATGTGGAGCAGCCACAGCCGTATCTCCACGTTCATTGTAAGTAGAAAAGGCGAGCAACGGTCGGACACAGTATCGGTCGTACGCAAGAGCGGTTTGCTCGTTGGAACTGAAACGTCTTCGTAATACAAAATCAAAATCAATACGAAAACTTACTGATTGGATTTAACCATTGACTGATGTATTTTCAAGTGTACAATACTACAATTTTTTAGTCAGAAATTGATCAACAGTAACGCTTTCCTCCTTTGAAATAAAGAACCTAGTACAAGTGCAGCAAAAGTAATAATTAAAATCTTGTTTACAAGAAAAGTGAAGTCTTACAAACCACTTAATCAGTTAAAGGTATGATATAAAATTTATCATGTAATAATTCGTTGAAATGATTGGCCATAGTTATGCTAAATTACTTACGAGTGATTTATATATATATAAGTGAAACATACAATGGAGAAATTATATACCGAGAATATTATTCGAACTTGAAAAATTGTATTAAATCCAAGAAACACCACTTCGCTAATTATGGACAGAATGTAAAAATAATCGTATAATAATTAATAAAAGTTATCACTGGACTGCGGATTTTATGTATTTTTGATTAAGGTTAACTAGGTTGAATACAAATCGTGAAGACATTAGAAAAATTGAAGAACGTCTTTCTAATTAATTAAAATAACTGAAATAAAGACAGACATTTTTATCAGACTTAAGTTTCTTATAACTATCAGATACAATTTTTATTTTGCGTAAAAATTCGCAGTCGAATTATCACGTACAATCGTTCCACAAAAGTCGTAGATGTTTTCAGTAAAATATAAAATACAAAAATTAAAATAAACATATTTCGATTATTATTTGTTTCAAAAACTGTATAACTCACAAATACCCCACTTCACCAATTAAAAGCTAAATGTAGAAATTATTACGTACTAATTAGAAAAAGTTAATATCTACCATTATCCTATAAGGATCATAAATATACTAAGAAATTACAATAAGTATAGTTAAATTATTATTTGTTTTAAAAGCTGTATAACTCGGGAATGCCCCACTTCACCAATTAAAGGTCGAATGTAAAAAAATGATCATATAATAATAACCAGAAATTAAGCGAACTAGGAGTGTCCACATAAAAACATTCACAGCGTAATAATAATAAATCTCTCCACGGTTTCCCACTAGCTTGTGTAAACAATGTTCGATTTATTTCACTGTTGGAACAATGTTAGTTGAACGAGTGTGCACCCGTTAACGCCACGGATGATTACTAGAATAAAAATTTATACGACTTATACTCGACACACTATCTCCGGAGCGAATGAAATTTAAGGGGCGTTTGAATTACGTGGCCAACAATTTACGTGGATCGCACCCATGGCAGTAAACGACACCGATTCGAGATCGTTATGTCCTCCGCGAAGAGACCGGTCGCCACCGTTGCGCCGTGAAACTTTCCCTCGAATATCAAAAATTCTCGAGTTCGACTGCGCGAACGAGACTTTCCACTTCGCGCCCTTAAGAGTCTATCTTCGTAGAAACGCCCTCTATTTACTAAACTTTCAGCATTACTGACACAGATTTCAGAATCCTCTTGTCGTTCGAACTCGTTACTATGTCTACTTAATTATTGGAAGTGACCTGACAGCTTCGCTCCGCTCAGAATTTCTGATTCATAGCTGGAGTTCTTCAAATCAATGTTTTAATAACCAGGCTTGCGCATTTTATGCATTCACGGAAAAAATAGGTAAGAGATAGACAGAGCAGTGACGATATGAGAAGAATTTAAGAATATTGTTACATTATTTTCAAAATATGCAATCTAGTGAAAGTAGGAGCACAATTTGTATTTAACACGTGTTTTATGAAATTGATGCAGGACACTTTTATTCTGCATAAAGATCCGCTGACTATTAATAACCATAGGAATTTCGTTGTTCATGAAGAGACTGCAGATTTTGTATTTAAATAGGAGAGATACAGGACAGTGAAGACGTCACAAGAACTTAAAAATATTGTGACATTACTTTCGATTCATTAAAATTAGTAAAAGAAGGAATACTTTTTTATCTTACTTGAGTTCTATGCAATTTTTATTTTGCGTGACGGTTCGCTATTCTATTTAAAGTTTAACAGTTAAAAATTTTTGGATCAAATATCAGTCTAGTTAATTATTAGGGTGACTATAAAGTTTCGATACATGTCTGGCTCCACTCAGATTTTCTGATTCACAACTGTAGTTCTTCAGATCAACTTTTTAATAACCACAGTAATTTCGTTGCTCATAGATAGACTGCAGATTTTCTGCATTTATAGCAAAACTTAATAGAACAAATGCAGAATAGTGAAGAGGTCACAAGAATATTGTTACATTACTTTCAATTCATTCAAAACTATCAAAAAAGAAAAGGAATACATACATTTATAATTCACTCCAGTTTCATTGAACTGTTGCAGACTATTTTTATTCTGCATAATGATCCACAGTCTACTCGTAGAACAATTAAAATTTCTGAATCACAGTTAAAAATGTTTTGATCGAACTTTTAATGATCACAGCACTTTTGACAAATTTTCAACACTCACAATTTCTGGTTCACAGTAGTTGAAAATTATTCACACTTTAAATAATATAATTTATAATTTCTTTTGGTATTATATAAAAATCGATTTATTATTAATACCTTCTCGATACTACATAATCGCTGAGTACCCTCTTATAATAGACTTCCGGTGAATAAAGTATTCAGTTTAAAAACAAATTTAACTTTCGTTGAGTTTTATTATTATTCTGCAACCTTTTAGAGCACCTATTTATTTATAATTTTTATTTCTGTTCCTAACAACACGCTGAAAAGAATAACGGCAAGGCTGCGTATCTGGTTAACCCAACATAGTACTTCAAAATTGTTACCCTCCTCTGCTTTTTATAGTTATCAAGTTTCTATATAAATTGTTTGCCTGCCTGACATATCGAATAGCACAGTGAATGCTCTCGACAGAACCGCTTTGCTTCAAAGTGTAAACTACCGCTACTAGAGAAGAGTAGGCGCATCTTTATTCATGTTGCAGCGATAAGAACCGATTTCATTATAGTAAACCGTCCTGCACGACAGGTCGAGATCATCTGGTAGTCACGGGATTAATAACAAATACAAAGCCGAAATGACGGATACCAACAATTTGTCGAAGATAATTTTTCGTATTTTGCAAATGTTCGTGTCGCGTTTATGCAAAATAAATTACTGAATTTAACGTGATTCAATAGCTAACGTTTGGCTATATATATATTAATCATGCTCATCAATTTCAAATAAATGATTTAAAAAGAAAATTATTTCAAGTTCTTAGATTGTATTAAGTTCGGAAATTAATTCGGAAGCTTCATTCTAACTGATAAATTCTTTGAAATAAATAACGTTATTGATATAAGAAAATCATCAAAAAAAATTTTATTTTCTTAAATGTATATCTCTCAAATGACGTTAAAATTAATAAAGCAGGTGATAACTTAAATGGTTTGTGGATAATTAAAGGGCCTGATGATTAAGCCACATGAGGAAGAATTTACTAGCATAGCGTTTTAACCTCGGATGACAAGTTAATTTATCATTCGCGTTCACCATCCCCTTTCAGAGACTATTCACTTTGTTCTTAATTCAACGAATAATTCTTTCACTAATTATGTTCTACCGTTCTTTTCATTATGAAGGCTGGCAGTTCAAATCCCAATTTGACGGATGAAATATGTAAATGTAGAAGAAAGTTACAAATGATTTTAACTGTGAAGGCCATGGTATAATTTACGCACCGAATGTTAAACAGACACTACTGTCTGTTGCCAATTCACTGTATTCATTAGTTAAAGCTAGATCCTTTCTGCACCATATAGACGATCACTTTTTTAAACACGTTAACTACCGTACCAACATTCGTGAAAGACTCGTAAAATCAAAAGAACCTATTTGATAATATAAGAGTTGAAATTTTATTTATTACAAAGAGTCGATTTATTATAGCAACTGCTTTTGTGACCCCCTTGCACCTCGTAGATCTTAACAAGAATACAGAAAATGCATTCGCCGAGTTTAAAATTGTCAAAAAGAAGTAAAGATAATTTCTTGTTATTAATGGTGATAAATAGATTTATTAATCAATTTGATATTTTTTAAGTGTCTATATATAATAACTACGGATAGTGATGAAGAACGTGCCAAAGATCCAAATATATTTGCTGACAATTTATCAGATATTCCAAGCGAAAGCAACTGTAGTTGCTTGAAAATGAATTCTCAGGTTTGATAACCAAATTATGTCAAGTTGGTGTCAAGGCTATGCCAAAGTTATTTCAAGCTAGAAAACTTACAATATTATGACTAATATAAATGAAAATACCTATATTTTATGTTGCGAAAAAACTATCTAATGATCTTTCGTAGAAACTTAATGCAATTACTTATTTTTATCGTACATTGTCAGCCACTTTTATTTATAATCATCTTTAAACAGTTTTTTGAATATAGATCAATCCTGTTCTTTTCTTAAATGTTCTCTTTTTTAAGCAGTTTCACTTTCATCAAAGCCACGTTTTTAATTCCCCAGCGTTGAAACAACTTCCCTTTAAAGTAGACATCCGTCAGCCGCCATCTCCCAACAGTTTTCCCATAATATTTACATCGACGGATCTCACGAGTCACGGTAGAATATTTATTGTTTGCTTTCCAATATAGCTTCAATATTTCTGTTTCGCGCAGTATTGCGTTCACGTATAAATGAAGTTTCATCGTAAATAAAGAACTTTGTCACGTGTCAAAATAACGTGTCCCTGAACCCAGTGTTAAAGAAAAAAGGGAGCAATAGACGTTACGAACTTAGAGGGCTATACCGCGACAAGAAAGTGCGTAAACGTCGAAGCTGGTTATCGGCGTAATCCTTCGATTCTTATTCACCTCGTCGAAAGGAACTTTCCCTCGATAAAGAACGTCAAAGTTAGACACGGCGAAGGGTCCAACAGCTTGCCGATTCGTCGCCTATCAGAGGCTTCCGTCGCGGAAGTTGGCGAGGCTTTGCGACTCGAAAAGAGGATCAGGGTGTCGTCGGATTACGCGTTCGAATCGAGTCGATGAACATCCGTCGCTCGTCTCTGTTTCTTCGCTGTCATCGAGATATCGGATCAGCCCGTTAATCGGGACGGACAGGACGCGAGAAAGGGCGGAGGAGAGTTGTCCCGAACAAAATGAAATTCCTAGCTCGCGCTAATTGCACGGGACGCGCCGGCAGGGGAGGACTGGGGTGCGGGAACGCAAGAGCGGCGGGCTGCGGCGAAGGGAGTTCGGCTATTAATAATTCGACGAGCCGGGCTGCCCGCTCGAAACTTCCAACCCCGGCGATCGATCCTGGGGGAATTATCGAGATATGGATACGACAGTCGGATTACGGGGGGAGGGCTTCGGATCTTGGAACTTTTCGAACGCCGAAAGACCGTCTCGAGGCGGTGACACTTGAGCCACGCTCCGCGGAAACCACGGGAATTACGACTTTGCGGGGCCCGACACCTCGGCTGCAATTAATGGCGGCGGATTACCGTCTGCGAAATTAGAAGCCCGAGCTGCCGGAAGTCGCCGAGAGGAAAAATTCCGCGATGGGAATTCTGCACGAGCGTCGACCTCGTTCCGCGCGAGCCGTACGCCACCGCCTGAAACTATTTGATCATTCGCAGCGTGCACGGTTTACGGAAGAAAAGACTGTAAAAGACTCCCCGAGACTTGCATTCTCTTTGTCGCTTTGTCGTTACTCCCGCTGCGTGTTAACTGTGGCGTTCGTTTCGCTAAACAAACTCGTGATACATTTTTCGGTCTTGATCGATTTCGGATCGTTTTAAACTGTCGAGCTACGTAGTCGCCGATGCGTGATGGGTTAGAAGATTATCATCGATTTTATTACAACTGGAAAGTGTCATTGTTGATTATTTACACTACTGTTAGATAGATTGATGTCTCTAGATAATGTAATCAACTTTGAAATATTTATTTAACATGAATAAAAAGTAATAAAGTAAAGTACGAGCGTGTACCTATCGTGGAACACGGATGCCAACTTGTTCATAAATCGGGACAGTGAAAGAATTGAAGTACACGATAAGGAACAGTGTGTTCTTGCTTAGAAACATTCGTATTCGAGAAAATATTTTTTTACTGTTGATTATTGGATAACAGTGTTCGCGTGGGTGAATTTATAAAGAAGAATGTTCAAAAAGTATGGATGGAATTTTTACATCCCCTTTCGTATGCTCTACCTATTTATTATTGTATTATTTATGATACTGTGTCAAAGAGAAGTCACAATTGAACGGTGTTTCATAATAGGTACATTTGCCTTAACAGCTTTCGGAGCAACGCTGTTTGTGTAGGAATTTAATCACGGTTCTCATCATTTTTGCTAAACCTACTGGAACCATTGAAATAATTGATATGCGTTGATTTATGGAAATGACGAGATTGAATTGATCTAAACGTTTGACGATTTGTGGTTATATGGTGTGGTTTGTGTTATGATCAAGGAATTATCTTGAATCTATCTTTATAATTTCAATAATTGTAGTGTAAAAGATCCGAAACTTTCGCCGGCATTGAATGTTAATCGACTGCTGATTTAATTCAAGTCCGAATCGCGAAATGGAGAGAATATCGTATAACTGTAACTATTGAAAATATATATAAAAAGTGGAGTACTATAGACTGAAAAATAGTTTGCCGAGCAACTTTATACACCCGAAAAACCAATAGACATCAATGATTTCATTATATCGGGACGACTGAATTCGAGAACTGTATTATGCTTTTCAGAAGAAATTCATCAGTTGTTTGTAAGAGCCAGAATAGTTTGCACGTTTACATCGCAAGAAAGAAAACCATTTAAAGAAATCAGATTAAATGTATTCACGAGCATATTCACTGCTTTCGGAATCAAATCTTTGGTTCTCCAGAGACACGCCACAATCCATGCGCTCGAGAAGTTATTCTAACACTAAATCCCAGAAATTCAATAACCACCAAACGTTTTATAAGCGAGAAAACTAATTCATTATTCTTTATACGTTCCTGAGTCATAATTATCCATGTTTGTGTTTCACTACAGTTCGATCAATTATATTCTACTCATCATCTTCGAGACACTGCGTCAAATTACAACACAATAATTTAGTATCTAAAGTATAAAATGGATGAATTTTCGTCGGAGAAACGCGCTAGCATTAAACGCAATCAAATTTAGCGAAAATTGTTCCAAGTTACGCTGTGGTAATTTTTAGTACCGCCTCGGAGTCGCCATTCGGGTGCTGCTAACAGTTGGGGTTGCTGATGGCGTAAACGAATGCCGGGAGTGCTAAAGATTGAACGATTCTATGATCGACCGATAGGAAACGGTCTTTGGCTAATTAGTTTCCCGTAATTTCAACCCATAGGCGTAAAAACGCGGCGGCGAACAAGAGATCGTTCGTAAAAAGCTAGTTTGATTTATGGGACGCGGACGACCGATCCGATCGGTGAAAACTGATTGCGTTGATTCGATCTGGCAATAGCAATTTGGATCTCGATCGACGCCGTGTGCAACGCGACTGCACGCGACAACGGCAGGAGGTAAACTTGGCCGCGGTAATTGTTGGAGAAACAATGTCTCAGACGCATTCTTCTGTAGACCGTCGCGGAGAGGATCGCGAGGCGGAGAGGGGATCGGGAGCGTCGAAGTTGCAGGACCTTTTCAACCGTGATTAAACGTCGAGCTAACTGAAAGTTCTCCATCGGGCACGTATTTGCATACCTTCGAACTTAACCGGCTTCAAGAGGGGGAACAAAGTTAACACTTCGTTAAGTAGTTTACCATTAAACCATAAGTCCGTGGCAGCGACTCGCTCGCGATTCACACGATCGGCGGGCGCTGGCGCGCCGCAACCGCACAGATCCGTTAACATCGCGCCGAAAACAACAACAACAACAACAACGATCGAACGGTGATCCTCGGATCCGTGCACGATCCGGCCAGTGTCCACGAGGTCTGCGAGAGGTTCATGGATCGACGAAGCATATCCAGGCACACAGAGCACGGTGTCTCTCACGCCATAGTCCGGCCGGACAGTGAGAAAGACAGAGAGTGAGAGAGAGAGAGAGAGAGCGAGAGGTGTCACCTAGACCCGGCACAACGCGGCGCAGATGGAAACGACGGAAACGGATCGCATCCAGCCCAGTTCGCACTGCACTTGGTGCACTCGGGCCGACTCCGGCAGCGTTCGGCTCGCGAAGGAACTCGTCCACCACTCCACCACCTGCACCCTCACCACCACTAACCACGAGGTGTCTTCATTCCGTGATCCGGATGGTCACTGCCGCCGCTGGACCGCGAACAACCGAGAACGTGTCCTCGAGCAGAGGACGATCTCTGAACGAAGACGAGATAGAATAGGAACAGCGGAGGAAATCGGAAGCTTTCCAGTTCTATGGAACCGGCGCTGGTACCGAGACCGACCGACCACCCGAGCAAACCCGATCCCAGGGACGACCCTTCGTGTGCGCGATCGGCTGTCTGTCCCGGGCTCTACTGACGGCCAGCCGCGCGACCTCCATGGAGGTGGCGGTGCTGGTGCTGGTGCTGGTCCTGCTGCTGCTGCTGCTACCGCCGCCGCCGCCGCCGCCGCTGCTGCTGCTGCTGCTGCTGCTGCTGCTGC